CGGCCCCTTCCCCGCCCTCCCGAGACCACTGGTGGGGTCCCTGCCCGCGGCCCGGAGAGGAGGGAGGAAGGTCGGGGGAGAGCTGATGGGGAGGTCGCGGCTTCCCGCCTCGTAGCAACAGCCGTGCAGGCTGCGCTCGGTGAACCGACACATGCGGACTGGGCACCTCCCGCCACGCATCTGCGGAGGGGGACCCCCTTTTCGGTACACAGGCGGTTCTGGAGCCCTCGTGGGTGCCCGGTAAATGGTGGGCCCTCCCACCCCACGCCAACACACAGGCGGCAGGGCGAGCAGTGTGCACTACAGCTCTGTCAATGAGTAACTCTTCTCCCTGGTGGACCCAGGGAACCCGGCGGGAGCCAGGAAAGGAAAGGCCAGTTTCCCAGTAATGTCCAGGAGTCCGAAATGAGAGCTGGGTATGACCCTTCTCCAAGTGAGCAAGGGCAGAGTTGTGAGCCCCTTTCGTTGGTGAGGACAGCCCTGGAAGGGCCCAGGAGGTGCTTGCTCTTTGCAGATAGAAATTAGGCAGCCTTGGGCCCTGCCGCAGAGGTCCAGAGAAAGCTGGGCCAGAAGAGACCTCAGGCCGGGCCTGGGCACAGGTAGAGTGAGGCTTTGGCTGTGATCCTGGGTGGGGCCAGAGATCTGCGGAGTGGGCAGGAGATCCTGGCTATGCAAGTTGGGAACATGAGGCCTGGCTCCAAACCGTCCTTTTCAGTTGGCTCTGGCCTGCTCATTAATGAAAGTGGGGCTCACACCTTGTCCTCTGAGAGGCCAAGTAGCTCAGAGAGCCCCATATCTTCCCTACGGGCTGGGTTTCCTTGGCTATGAAATGGGGGTTGTTCTTACAAGGAGCACCTGCTTTGTGCTACCTGCCCTGTCCCAGTTGCTGGGGCCTCTGAATCAAAAGCCACACTCCCTGCCTTCCAGGAGCTTCAAGTTGAGTGGGAGGGTGGATCAGGGTGAAAAGTGGCCTTGGTTGGTGTCACTAATCCCGGGCATACACCACAGCATGTTTAATGGTCAGAGCAGTCTTGTTTCCCATTTGGCCCAGGGCAGAGCTGCAGAGCCACCACACGGAGTGGACTCAGCAGCCTAGGTGGACAGGGAAGGCTCCCGGGGGAGGGGGGATGGTTGGGAGTGGAGTTAATGGGATAGAGGTGGAGTGGGCATTCCAGGCAGTGGGAGCAGCCGCGATGTCAGGGTGGAGCGCAATAGCCTGCGGGTGAGGCATGAGGAGCATGCGTGGGAGAGCGCTGGCATATGATAGGAGAGGGCTGGGGCTGGAGGGGTTCGACCTTTATCACAGGCCCTAGGGTGCCCCAGAGACACCAGGGGGACAGGAGGGATATGCTCCGATTCTGCTTGGAGATCCTGAGAAGTAGGATTGACAAAGGGCTGGAGGCTGCTCTGTGGCCTGTGGCGGAGTTTAAGTGAAATAGGAGTGCCCAACGAGGAGGAGAAATTGTCACTGTCCTTTCCCTCCTCCCCCACCCGTGGTAAGAGGGGAAAGGGGAGGGGTTCTAGGCCCCGTTTCAGTGATCATTTCAGTGATGGAAGAAGCCTGCCGCTTTTCCCAGAGGGTCAGCCTCCAGCCTCCTCTGTGGCCCCACCAGGAGCTGTTCTGATCCCTGCCCATCTTCCTCTGGGCCACCCAGTTGTGATTTTACATTTGGGGAGTGTCTTGGTTGCTGCCCCTTGAGGGCTGGAGAACCTTGGCACACAGAAGGCTCTGAGCAAATGTTTGTAAGGGAATAAAGGATTCAATGTTGGTCTAACTATGGACCCTCTGCCCCAGGCGCATCCCTGAGCAGGAGGTGGCAGGAGGGGAGAGAGCAGTAACCAAGTACAGGACGTGGCCTCTACCCATCCTCAGGCACACCCTGTCTTCCTGGAGCAAGAAACTCTCTTCCCTTAACCCTTGGAAACAAGGTGGGGGGCTCCTGGGAAGTCTGTCTTTGCCACAGTCCTGGGCTTCTGGCCGGGTTCATGACTCTCCCTGCTGCCCCCTTCCCCCACCCCCTTGGGTGACAAACAGAGGCAGCCTTGTTCCTGCTCCCATAGAGCTGCCCTGTTCTCTGCACACTAAAAATGGAAACCCCCAAGCTATTTTGGGAGCAGTGCCCAGCCAGGCTGTGGCCACGGCTCCCACTGGGCTGCTGGACCGTCCTTTGAGCCTTTGGCCCAGCCCCGCTCACTCTGGGGCAGCCTCAGGGACATGCCGTGGGAGGAGCTGACCTGGCCTGAGGGAAGCTCTCCCACAGGCAGACTGGCAGCTGGGTGGCAGGAGGGGCTGGGCAACGTGGCCTGGGCACAGGCAAGTAGAGGAAGTGTTTCATGGTCAGTGGTGTATGACCTGTCCCAGCATTTCACCAACCTTGGTTCTCCTGTCTGGGGACCACTGCGCCTGGGAAAGATGGTGTTGCCGTGGTTTCCTGGTCCCAGCAGGCCTTAGGACCCTCCCCCCCCCCTTCTCCACACGAGATCCTGGCTGTGCTTTGACCTGCTGGAGAGGAAATAGCAAGAGATGCCTGGCTTCCATAGCCCTTTAGGACTTAGAGCTCAAAGCAGGGAAGTGTGCATGAGTCTGTATGGGGGTGTCTGAATGTGAGTGGAGGTGTGTATCTTTGGTATGTGGGTGTGACATATGCCTGTGCAAAGTGCGTGTTTGTACGCTGTGTGTGTTTCTGTGTAAGAACGTGCTCTCTGTGGATGTGTCTTTGTGCAGGTGGCTAAGTGTGAGTGGTGTGTCTGCCTGTGTTTCTTTGTGTACAGATTGTATCTGCATGTGTCTGTGTGTGTAAGCACCTGTGTGCTTGCACATGGATGTGTGCAAGCATCTGGTGGTATGTATGCTTCTCTGTGTGTGTGAGCATGTGTCTGCTTGTGTGCTGTGGCAGTTTGGACTAAGACAGCCCCTGGCCTCTATGGAGGTATGTACCTGGGTGCCTTGATGGGGTGGAGTTTGGACAGAGGGTGGAATGGGAGAGTGCCAAGAAGGGAGAAGGGGGTGCAGGGGGACAGGGCTGTGCTGGGTGCCCAACTGAGCCCTGCCAGTCCTTCCTAGCTGCCCTTTCCCAGGCCCTAAGGGTTCCTGGTTCCGCTGCCCTCCCCCTCCCTGTGTGGGCTCTGAGGAGGCGTCCCCTGTGGAATGTTTGGTGGCCGAGGGCCAGGCTGGGCCCAGTTCCACCAACAGGCTGGGCAGGGGGAAGGGGGTACCTCTATGCTGCCTCCACATGCCCAGCTTCATGCTCTGCTTTCTCCCTGGCTAGGTGACTCCTACACAGGTCATGCTGTTGTCTCCTGACCCAGCCGGCCCTGCCAGGTGAGCCTGACCTCACCCCTAGGCCTCTGGGAGTAGTGTGACTCCCACCTCTACTGGGAGTTCTCCAGGGTGGGGTCCAGTCCTTCAGGCCTCCTCCCTGGTGGCCTGAACCTCGCTCTCCTCTCCAGCCCTTTGGTTCTGTGCTTCTTACCCTTCTGGATTCCTGCCTGAAAGGCCCTTCCTCCAATTCTTGCCTTGCCCTAACATGCGAGTGGCCCTTGGGGCTGTACCCTCCCTCCTTCTGCCCAGGAGACTGACATCTGTGAAGAGGGGCCGCCCCTCCTGGGCTCTGTGCCCGTCCTTCCCATCACTTACTCTCTCCTGCCCCTTCTAGGCTCTGGTCCAGGGGGATGGGATGTTTCCCACGTCTTTGCCCCTCTAGCCCCTCTCGAACCCTGTGGTGGGTGACACAGGACAGTGCAGGGTGAGGGTGGGGTCAAGGTCTCCTGAGAGAATAGTGCTTGCAGAGAGCGTGCAGTGTTGAAGTTTCCAGGAAAGATCTCCTGATCTCTTGCTAGTAGTATGTGGTCCTGGCCCACAGTGCCTCTGCTCATCCCCCCCCCCCTCAAGGTTAGGAGAGGCATTTTGGCAATGGCATAGCCCTATCCCTCACCAGAGACCCCATGTTACTCAGGTGGCCACATGAGCCCTGCTCCACCTCTCTTCCTGCCAGGTGACCATGCCTGCCCTCGGCCCAGCTCTTCTCCAGGCGCTCTGGGCCGGGTGGGTCCTTACCCTCCAGCCCCCTCCACCGGCTGCTTTCACTCCCAATGGCACACATTTGCAGCACCTGGCACGGGATCCCACCTCTGGCACCATCTACCTGGGGGCCACTAACTTCCTGTTCCAGCTAAGCCCGGGGCTACAACTGGAGGCCACTGTGCCCACTGGCCCTGTGCTAGATAGCAGGGACTGCCTGCCGCCTGTGGTGCCCGATGAGTGCCCTCAGGCCCAGCCCACCAACAACCTGAACCAGCTGCTCCTGGTGAGCCCAGAGGCCCTGGTGGTGTGCGGGAGTGTGCACCAGGGCATCTGTGAGCAGCGGGGCTTGGGGCAGCTCGAGCAGCTGCTGCTGCGGCCAGAGCGGCCCGGGGACACCCAGTATGTGGCTGCCAATGACCCTGAGGTCAGCACAGTGGGACTGGTGGCCCAGGGCTTAGCTGGGGAGCCCCTCCTGTTCGTGGGGCGGGGATACACCAGCAAGGGGGTGGGGGGTGGCATCCCTCCCATCACCACCCGGGCCTTGCGGCCACCGGACCCCCAGGCTGCCTTCTCCTATGAGGAGACGGCCAAGCTGGCCGTGGGCCGCCTCTCGGAATACAGCCACCACTTCGTGAGCGCCTTCGCGCGTGGGGCCAACGCCTACTTCCTGTTCCTGCGGCGGGACCTGCAGGCGCAGTCTCGAGCCTTTCGCGCCTACGTGTCCCGTGTGTGCCTCCGGGACCAGCACTATTACTCCTACGTGGAGCTGCCCCTGGCCTGCCAGGGTGGCCGCTATGGGCTGATCCAGGCGGCAGCCGTGGCCACGTCCAGGGAGGTGGCCCGGGGGGAGGTGCTCTTTGCAGCCTTCTCCTCGGCCGCTCCCCCCGCTGTGGGCCGGCCCCCGTCGGCGGCCGCGGGGGCAGCCGGGGCCTCCGCCCTCTGCGCCTTCCCTCTGGACGAGGTGGACCGCCTTGCCAATGTCACCCGCGATGCCTGCTACACCCGGGAGGGCCGCACCGAGGACGGGGCCGAGGTGGCCTACATTGAGTATGACGTCAATTCCGACTGCGCACAGCTGCCTGTGGTGAGTCCCAGCGCCCACCCGGCTCAGAGGCCGCGGGCCAGGCACGCACTGCCAAGCAGCTGCCCAGGAGCCCAAGGGGCGCTGCTGATGGTGTGGGGGCTGATCGGGTCAACGGGAGCTACTTGCTTCGTGTCCGGGTGCTGGAGGGGTACCTACATGGCATTCAGGGGGACAAAGCCATCGGGTGGGCTTGGACTGGGCGCCGAAGGGGTGGCATTTGTGTTAAGTGGATTGACAGGGTGTTTGGGGTTCTGGGGTATGGGACAGCCACCTAGTAGGACCTGTTCTTTCAGGTTTTTGAGCAAGAGGGCAGGTGAAGTTGAGAATTGTTTGACTCTAGCCTCAGGATAGATTTAAAAAGGGAAGAAACTGCACATGGTGGGACTGAGTCAATGAGAAGTGGCAGGGCCCAGGTGCGTGGTCTTGGGGACAGTGGTTCAGGAAAAGGCTGAACTTATGCATCCACTGAAAGAAGCAGCTCCCAGGCCGGGGATGGGCAAAGGTGGGGCCCCAGACAGGTGGGGATCAAAAGAGGAGGAAGGAGCTGCTGGAGACTATCTGAGGCAGCTGGAGATAAGGCACCAAGGCAGGGTTAAGGATGTGGCTGTGGGAGATGTTATCAGGGAGGGCTGGCAGAGAGCCTGGGGGCAGGGGTGAGGTTTTCCCAGGAGGCCAGCAGAAAAGACAGAATTGTTCATGGAGAACTGGCAGCGAACCAGGAAAGGCAATGGGGTTGTCCAGGAGGATGGGGCAGGGAGGTTATCCACGGAAGGCCTTACTGGTGCTTCCTGCTGCCTGCAGGACACCCTGGATGCTTATCCCTGTGGCTCAGACCACACACCCAGCCCTATGGCCAGCCGTGTCCCCCTGGAAGCCACGCCAATTCTAGAGTGGCCAGGGGTTCAGCTAACAGCTGTGGCAGTCACCATGGAGGATGGACACACTATTGCTTTCCTGGGTGACAGTCAAGGGCAGCTGCACAGGGTGAGTCCACAGGAAGTACTGGGCCCTGCCCCAAGGTCTGGAGGGGACAGGCTGCTGGGGACCCAGCCTGGGCAGAGCTACCCCTGTGACCCCTTGGCCTGGGATATGGCATCATGACATGCCCCCAGCCCCAGGTTGGGAGAGATGACCTGGGCTCTTCTTCGTAGGGTTGGGTTGTGTTTAACTGTGATCCCCACCCCTTCTGATCCCCCCTTCTGCCCCCAGGGCTGGGTGGTGTGACCTGTACTGCCTACGAGGAAATCTACCTGTAAATTGCTTCATTGTGGGGGAAGGGGGACCTTGGGCCTATGGCCATGGACTTGCATCCCAGACCTTATGGTTTCTGATCTCAGGTGTACTTGGGCCCAGGATGTGATGGCCACCCATACTCCACACAGAGCATCCAGCAGGGGTCTGCGGTGAGCAGAGACCTCACCTTTGATGGGGCCTTCGAGCACCTGTATGTCATGACCCAGAGCACAGTGAGTGCCAGGCGAGAGCTGGGGCCTGGCTGCTGGGAGGGGCCTTGGGCTGGGCCAGGGACCCATATGAACCCTAGTGTTTAGATGGCTGGCCTCAAGTCCTCTTTGCTGTCTCAGCTTCTCAAGGTTCCTGTGGCCTCCTGTGCTCAGCACCTGGACTGTGCATCTTGTCTTGCTCACAGGGACCCATACTGTGGGTGGTGTGTGCTTCTTGGCAGGTCAGTACTCCACGGACTCCCGACCCAACCCCAGCCCCAGCCCGAACCCCAGCCTCATGCCCTCAGTGCTCCTGCATCATTGCCCTGTCCAGGATTCCTGGTCCTTGGCCCTTGACTCTGACCCCCTGACCCCTGTATGCCCCAGTCCCCCACTCCATCCTGCTACCCTGGGTATCGGTGCCTTGCCAGGGCACACCCAGCCTGGTGTCATAGCCCAGCTGAGGATACTACCCAGATCTCCAGGGCTGTAGGTGTCCCTGCCCCATGAACTTCCAGTGGCCCTAACACTGTCCATTCTTGCCTAGGTGCAGTCGCCGTTCTGAGTGCTCGAGGGGCCAGGGCCCAGAGCAATGGCTGTGGAGCTTCCAGCCTGAGCTGGGCTGTCTGCACGTGGCAGCCATGAGTCCTGCCAACATCAGCCGAGAGGAGAGGAGGGAGGTGAATGACCGGAGCAGGCGGATCCCTGGCCATGGGTTGACACGTTTTTTTTGTTAAATATGTCTCTTGATTTCAGAGAGGAAGGGAGAGGGAGAAAGATAGAAACACCAATGATGAGAGTCATTGATTGGCTGCCTCCTGCACATCCCCTACTGGGGATCGAGCCCACAACCAGAGCATGTGCCCTGATCGGGAATTGAACCCCGATCTCCTGGATCCTAGGTCGATGCTCAACCGCTGAGCCACACAAGCCGGGCAGCAACACCTTAGATTTGGTGTCAGGTGCACTAAATACCACAGGGCCTTGCACAGTTCACTTCTCTTGGGGCCTTGCTTTCTCTGTTAGTAACCAGGCCAGAGGGTTCCGTGAAAGCCCAGGGGCTGGTGGCCACTGACATTTGCCTGTGTTGGGTGCCCCATAAGCAGAAGCCCTGATCTGCTGCCCAGTGTCTCTGACAGCGTGTCCTGTCCTCTCGGCAGGTTTTCCTGTCAGTGCCTGACCTACCTCCACTATGGCCTGGGGAGTCATATTCCTGCCACTTTGGGCAATACCAGAGTCCTGCCCTGCTGACCAGCTCTGGTGTGATGTGCCCCTCCCCAGACCCGAGTGAAACCCCAGCACTGCCGAGAGGAGCCGGTGGGTGAGAGAAGGGGCCAGCCCTGGGCCTGGGAGCCCTGCCTGCCTCCCAGGGGTGTGGTTGGGGTGAGGTGTGAATTCATGCCAAGAGCCCAGAAGGGACACCTTTCTCTGAGTCCTCCCACTAGTCCTCAAGCCCCTAAAGTCCCAATTTTGTTCCCAGGGGACTATATCCCCCAACCCTGAGTACCCTTCCCAGATTTGGGTGCTAACCCCACTCCATGTGGCCTCGGGACACTGGCTTGGGGTCTGAAAATCCCTCCCCACTCCTCAGCGCTGGCCCTCTCTCCCCCCCTTTGCAGACCACATTTCTGTGAGTGTGGAGCTCAGATTTGGCTCTGTCGTGATTGCCAAAGCCCCCCTCTCCTTCTATGACTGTGTGGCTGTCACTGACCTCCACCCGTCTGCACAGTGAGTCCCTCACCCTGACCCCCAGGCCCAGGGTTGCCCTGTGATGCCTCCATGGTGCCCGTGCCCCATGGCTGTGCTCTGTGCAGGTGCCAGGCCTGTGTGAGCAGCCGCTGGGGGTGTAACTGGTGCGTCTGGCAGCACCTGTGCACGCACAAGGCCTCGTGTGACTCCGGGCCAGTGGTGTTCAGCCAACAGGTGAGCGTGACTCCGGGCTGGGCCACATGGGGGGTTTGGGGTCCTCTGGTAAGCATGTCTCTGATGGCCCGGGGTCTGTGTGCCTGCCTGCCCATGTGAGGCTCCATCGTGAGCACCTGAGCTGCTGTGTGCGACAACTCACTGGAGAAGGCTGCCCACCGTCCGGGAGAGGACGTTTGTAGCTGAGCGGCAGGGAGGTCTGGGCCTTGTGCCCCACCTCAGCACAGAGGCCCGGAGCCTGCCCTCCCCTCCTCTCCTTTGGAGAATTAATGGGCTGTTTTTGTTTCTCTTTCCCTTGGTCTCCTTTCCTCTTAACACATCCTTTGCCTGCCTGCTGCCTGCTCCCGCGCCCGCCTGCTGAGTGGCCCCTCCTGTCTTTCTCTGCCTCCCCCTCAGAGCCCGCTTCTCTCCCCAGCCTCTCCTGCCAAAGATGCACCCACCCCCTTCCCACCTGCAGCCCCCAAGGCCACGGCCACCCCTGCTCCTGACACCCTTCCCGTGGACCCTGGGGCTCCCTCCTCAGCCACAGCCTCAGATGTCCTACGTGGGGCCAGGCCATCCCTGCTCAGCCCCTCAGGGCCATGGGGAGGTCCCAGCCCCACACCTGCCTCAGCCTCCACAGAGTCACCCCTCCACGAGGAACCCCTCCCTCCCAGCCCCCTGGACAGACCTGGAACCACTGTCCCTGCTCTCACTGACTTCCAGCCCACGGCTACACCCGAGGAACTCTTGGCCCCCCACCCATCATCCTCAGATGCAGTGGCACTGCCCCCTGCCCCTGCAGACCCTGGCCCTGAGGCCCTCCCCTCCGAGGCACCCCTGGACCAGCCCCCCAGCACTGCTCCCGCCACCACTTTCCCAGGGGCCACTGGCTCCACGAAGCCCGCTCTGGACTGGCTCATGAGAGAAGGCGGCGAGCTGCCCGAGGCTGACGAGTGGACGGGGGGTGACACGCCCGCCTTCTCCACTTCCACCCTCCTCTCAGGTGATGGAGACTCGGCCGAGCACGAGGGCCCCCCCGCCCCCCTCACTCTCCTGTCCAGCCTTGACTACCAGTACGACACACCCGGGCTCTGGGAGCTGGTGAGGCCCAGCCCAGGAAGGAGGCCTGGGGGGGGACTGGGGCGGGTGCAGCCCCTTGCTCGCCTTGCGGTTCTGCATCAGCAGGGATCAAGGGGCAGGGTGGGGACCGCAGCCCCGCGCCAGCCTGGCCCCTGGGCTTCTGTGTGGGAAAGGACCGCGGCGACAGGGTGGCCTCCATAGCCTGCCTTGCTCTTGGTGCCTGCAGGAAGAGGTGAAGTGGGGGGCAAACTCCTGCCCCTGTGTGGAGAGTGTTCAGGGCTCCACACTGATGCCAGTCCACGTGGAGCGGAAAGTACAGCTGCTGGGCAGGAACCTGCGCCTCTTCCAGGTGAGTGTGTCCTGCTTGCAGGTGTCGTGGCCTTCTTGGCTGTTGGCAAACTATATACAAGTCCAGGGGAGCAGGAAGAGGGCATGGGCCCAGGTCTCAGACCCAACCCAGGGGCTGTGCTGGGGTCCCTACGGGGCTCCCCAGGCCCAGCTTCTGAAGCTGCCCCGACAGCCGTGTCTTCTGCCCTCAGGACAGCCCGGGAGACAATGAGTGTGTGATGGAGCTAGAGGGCCGCGAGGTGGTGGTTGCGGCCCAGATCGAGTGTGAGCTGCCTCCAGATACCCGGTGCCACATCACGTGCCAGCAGCACCAGGTGCAGATCTCAAGTGCCTGGGTGGGCATGGGTGCCCTGGCCACAGGCTGGCCAACCACAGGTGGCTGCACCGCACTCATCCCAGCCCAGGTTCTGACCCTGTGACCCGTGGGAGTCTGGGCACCCCATCTCTGACCTCTCATCATGTGTCCCGTAGGGTCCCTGTATCCCAGCTCTGACCTCTCACTCAGTGGCCCTACCAGGTCCCTACACTCCAGCTTCACCTCTGGCCCTGTGTCCCTGAGGGGTCTTGGTAGTTCTGACCTCTAACTCTGTGGTCTCATGGGTTCCCTGCACCCCAACCCTGACCTCTGACTTTGTGTTCCCATAATGAGTCATTTTGGTCCACCCCCTCCCCAGGCCTGCTGCCTCCCCCAGCCCCAGACTCTGACCCCACTCCTATTTCTCCAGCTCAGCTATGAGGCTCTGCAGCCCGAGCTCCGTGTGGGGCTGTTTCTGCGCCGGGCCGGCCATCTGCGTGTAGACAGTGCAGACGGGCTGCACGGTGAGCTGCTTGGGGCTGCTGGGGCTGCTGGTGGTGACAGNGTGGGGCTGTTTCTGCGCCGGGCCGGCCATCTGCGTGTAGACAGTGCAGACGGGCTGCACGGTGAGCTGCTTGGGGCTGCTGGGGCTGCTGGTGGTAACGGCTCTCCCAGGCCTGCCTCTCACATCCGTCTCTGCCTCCCCCAGTGATACTGTATGACTGTTCTGTGGGACACGGGGACTGCAGCCACTGCCAAACTGCCATGCCCCAGTATGGCTGTGTGTGGTGCAAGGGGGAACGTCCACAGTGCGTGGCTCGGGAGACCTGTGGTGAGGCTGAGGCTGTGGCCACCCAGTGCCCTGCGCCGCTCATCCACTCGGTGTGTTGAAACGCTGGCGCATCTCTCTCACTGCGACCCTTGGAGGGAGGGTGGGCTGCTGTGGGTCCGGGGTCCCAAAGAGGGGAGGCTGGGCCTGTCTGTCCATGCTGCCTGGGTCAATAGGTGGGTAGAGGTGAGCAGTCCTTGTCCTGGAACAGGTGGAGCCACTGACTGGGCCTGTAGACGGAGGCACCCGTGTCACCATCAGGGGCTCCAACCTGGGCCAACATGTGCAGGACGTGCAGGACACGGTCAGGGTGGCTGGAGTGCCCTGTGTGGTAGACGCTCAAGAATACGAGGTCTCCAGCAGGTGAGCTGGCTGGACCAACTGGAGCATGGCATACCCTGTGGGCTCCATGGTGGGCTTTCCTGCTCAGGGGCGCCCACGCAATACTCATCTGCCCTCCCCTGTCCCTCTTTCCTTGGTTCTGGTCACCATGCTTCAGTGCTGGGGTTGCTGTCACACACAGACCTGCAGCTTCCTGACCTGGGCTGCTGCTGGGTCATTCCTAGGCCGAGGGCCTGGTCACTGCCTAGAGCTGACAGGTGACTCTGCTCCCTGGCTCTGCCTAGGTTTCAGGGTGACCATGGATATAGTTGTGGCAGCAGGGTCTTCAGATCCCATACAGCTGTGCTCAGGGGCTGCCCTTTCCCCTGACTACCCTTCTTCCCTGAGCACTGTCCTGGTCAGGCTTCTCTAAGGAGCAGGTTTGCAGCGGACCTGCTGAGTGCCAGGATCCTCCATCTAGTCCCGGGACCCCTTTGCCTTCTCAGGCTCGTGGCCTACAGAGGTTCTGGCTCCTACTAACCTGGCTGGGAGTTGCAGGGTCCCCAGAGTGCATACATGGGCCACTCCCAAGGAGATATCCACAATCAGTCCCAAACCAGCTGAATAACAGAGTTACCTGGGAGCCTGCTCAAACCACCACAGAGCAGATCCTTAGACTCAGCGTGGAGATCTGCATCTGTGGCCAGTGTTGGGCCAGGAAATCTGTGTTTTAAACAAGATTTTGCTAGAGCATATAGTTTCCCCTAAATGGTTTATGACTGAGAACTCTAGGTGACTGTCTAGACTGTTAATGATTCTAGAACCACAAGACTGAAGTGGTTTATAAGTGATTAAAATGTATTATGGCGGAAGCCTCTGCTGGGGAGTTTACACATCGCTTGTTCTGTTTTCTCAGTGACCGTAACAGTGTCATGGAGTTAAGCCACTGCAGGCTTCACATTGTGCAAATGAATTTGCCCTGAGCTTCTGTTTTCTGGCCAGGACCCAGTGTTTTCTTAGATTGCTCACTTTCCGTTCATGTTTATCCCCAGACCTGATGAGAGGCTTTCAGGGACTTTTTTTTCCACGAGGAAATCAACTTTCCACCACTTTGCGAGTGGGGCTGTGCATGCGTGATGGTGGCCAGCAAGGCGCATGCGTTAGCTCAGCAGCTTGCCCCACAACCTGCCCTACAGGGCTCTTTTGTAAATCTGTGCCACACAGAAATTCTTCCTTGTTAGGGGCTCGGGTTCGACCTGAATGGTTGAAACCAGGAGTGTTAATTCCCAGATTCCAGCCTCCTGGAACGCTGTATTTCTCTCCAGAGCAAGAGGACTTCTGTCAGTCTCATGGAGGGTGGGAGTGGGGAGACTGCCTGATCAAGTGGGGCAGGGAGGGCAGCCTGGGTGGTCTGAGGGGCCCTTGGTATCGCCTGGCACTCCAGCCTTCCTCGTGCCCACAGTCTCGTGTGCATCACTGAGGCCAGCGGGGAGGAGGTGGCAGGCACTGTGACAGTGGAGGTGCCAGGAAGAGGACATGGCGTCTCAGAGCACGACTTTGCCTATCAGGTGCCTGACTGCTGATCCCCCCCCCCC